CATCCCTCAGGCCACATGCTGCATCGTTTCGATTTTTTTTTCTTTCATGACAGCCCTCTTTGTTCATTTTAACTTGATTTCTCATGTATGAATATGTCTGGAAAAAAGGAAAGATATACTTTATAATTCTGGTGCCCCACGTCGTATGTATATATTTATTTATTTACACACACGCGCACACACACACACACACACACACACACGCACACACACGCACACATCAGATATCACCACATCATGATTTTATAATAATTTCTGAAAGTGATACTTATTTAAAAGTAACTTCATGCTTAATAATGTTATTTTAAGACAAGTCCGAGTCTAAAACAACAAAATTGTTAGAAAGAGACTTTGTATGGTGGTAGATCAAGGATTGCAAATAGGAATTTAAGAATTAAAATTCTTTATGTCAGGATAGCGTGTAGATAATATACAAAGAAAATATAGAGGAAGATGAAACTATTTTATAATAATAATGCTATTTCTTCCCTCAAAAAAACTATCTCATTGTCCACAAAATTTTGACTTGGGGGAAAAGCAATTAAGTTAAGAAAGTATTTATTTTGTGGCTAGGACTGCATAGGACTTTGAAAAAGAAAAGAAAAAAAAAGATTTTTGTGCTTCAGGAAGTTGCAGTTAATGCGATTGTAACTAAAACGTGCTAGGTGCCATATTGTGTCATAGATACAGGGAATGCCAGAAAAACTCAGAGACGTGAGATTCATGCAGACATTAAGGAAGGCACGATTAAATGAGGAGGTACTGTCAAGAGGACTTGGAAGGTGGATGGGATTTAGGCAGGTAAAGAAATAGGAATATATTCTGCTAGATGGAATAAAGCATAATTAAAGGGAGTGATAGGAGGAATAACCAACATCAAGTGAAAAGTGTATTTCTGAGTAGTGATGGAAAACTACAGTGGGAGGCCAAAATAGGGACACACCAGCATTCAGACTTTCAACGCAAGCGTCTATACATTCAGGACAAGGAAAAGAGAGAGATATAAGTCTGTGATGCAAACTCTAGGAAGGAAAAGAGGAAGGAAGAATGGTTAGGAAGTTGCTACACTTACTTTAACTCAGAGGGAACAATTGAAAAGTGCTGTATTTAAGAGAACATATTTAAGTGTTCCATTTCAGTACAGTTTATAATATTCCAGAGCAGGAGATTTGCTAGCTATATTAAGCAACACCCATGCAACAGAGTTCTGTGCAGTCATGGAATTACTGATCGCAGCAAAATCCATTCCTTCATTCAACAAATACTGATAAAGAACCTAGTGCCAGGGGATAAAAGAGTGAACAAGACAAAGTCCCTACCCTCACAGAGCTTACATTCTTCTGGGAAATCCTTAGTGATTAACAGCTATATAATATAGTGTTAAGTGCTGTGATAAATAATAAGCCAGAGGAAGGGGATAAGCAATGGTTATTACTTTGCATAAGGAACTCACCAGTTAGAAAGTGAGACATCGTTGAAATGTGGAGTGAAGCTTGTGAAAATCTGAAGAAAGGGGTTCCAGAGGGAAGATGCCTTACCTGCAAAAAACTCTGAGGCAAGTGCATGCTGAGCATGCCCAAGGACCAGCAAGGCCAGTGAGTGGAGCTCAGTGAGTGAAAGGTGGGAAGTGGAAGAAGCTGAAGTTAGGGAGGCTTGGCATAGACCACAACAGGGCTTGCGGGCCAAGGTGAGGACTTGGGATTTTATTCCAAATTATATACGAACCCCCAAATATGTATCAATTTGAGAAAATGCTCATGATGCATTAAGTGGAAAAATAAGATATAAAACACGATGTAAAATATAATTACATTATGTCTATATCATACACAAGCACGTTAATAGAGGTGGTTTCTGAGTGTGAGGACCACAGGTGATGAAGGAAGTATGCACTTAAGAGAGATGACTTACTACAATCTGCGAAGCAATTTCAAAGTTAAAAATTTAGCCTATTCAGTAATGGGAAGCTGTCAGGGGAGGGGGAGGTGGGATTGGCAGTTGAGGGAAACTACTAGGGGAGGGAGGGGCATATCTCATCAACAAGGGTGCCTGCATAATCAATGTTTGTATACCTAATCCTGAATTGTACCCCACATCTTTATAATAATAATAATAATACATTTAACCTATTGTTAAAAGTAGAGTTTTGGTTTTCTTTTCTTTTCTTTTCTTTTTTTTAGTTGAAGTCTCACTCTTGTTGGCCAGGCTGGAGTACAGTGGCACACTCACGGTCACTGCAGCCTCAGCCTGTTTGATTTAGGCGATCCTTCCGCCTAAGCCTTCCAAGTAGCTGAAACTACAGACCCACAGATGCATGCCACCACGCCCAGCTAGATTTGTTTGTTTGTTTGTTTTTATGATTTATTGTAGAGATGAGGTCTCACCAAGTTGCCCATGCTGGTCTCGAACCCCTGGGCTCAGGTAATCCTCTGGC